AAAGTGGTATCGATATTATTGTAGAGATGAGCTAAAGATTAAATGAAAATAATAAAAACCGCCTGTCATAAAAACATAAAGTAGGGTATTAAAAGTAAATAAAAATAAAAACGAAAAAAGACAGCAGCTGAGAATCACCCTCTTATTATGCGTATTGCTTTTATTTAATTTTTTTTTCGTATTTTTAATACAAAAATTTATTTTCCTCTAGCTATTTTTAAAAATACTACAAACAGAAAAAACGCACACACAAAAAAATTTAACAACGAGCAGGCATTTCTATTTATATAAACTTGCATGTACAAGTAGAAAAAAAAAACACATATGTATGAAAATACATTCATACATATTTATATGAGTATCTTGTGGATACATTGCATGAATATGCTGCAACAAAAGAAAAAATTAAAAAAAAAAATATTAAAAACAAAATAAATAAAACTATGTTGCATGATAGTGTGTGTTTTCGTTTAGATTGTTTTGTATTAAAACTCATACATGTGATTGTTGTATCCTACCACCAATGTTCTGTTATATTTATATGACTTGTCACTTCATTTGCTACACTATTAAATGCGATTACAAGAATTTATTAATTGTCAGTAATGTTTAGTGACATTATTATTTTTGAAATTTTATTTAAATGTTTGTTGTCATTTAAAATGTTAAAGACTAATTTGTTAGAATTTAATTTAAAATTTTAAATGGAAATTTATAAAAATTCAAAACAGTTAAATATCAATAACAGTTATATAGCAATAAAGTTATGTACACTTGTGTGTATATAAATTCTATATCCTTGTAAGATATGTAGTCGCTTTAGCTATTTTCGCCCTTCCGTCTGCTTGTCTGTGTCCCCCCCGGGGGCGTGTTACCTTGGTAAAATCTCCATCTTGGTGTTATTGCAATATCTCGGGGAAAAGAGGTACTACCAATACCTCTAGTCTGTCGGGACTATAAACTGGTGATGATCAAATGTATTGTCGGACTTTCCTAAGAATAATTTGACATGGGGTCTAACCAGGGCACCATATAATCTGGCACTACGGTAGACCAGTTACCTGCAGGACTTGTCTTGGCTGGTCAGTTGATTGAGGTTCCTTCGGAATCCATGTAGTGGCTGTGGTTTAAACCCATATTCGCGCGGACTGATATAACGAAATGCCGCATATGTATGTCTGGTTTCTCTTTCCGGTGCTGTTACCATCTCAACAGATGTCACTGGGTGATGTGACAGAGCAACTTATGCTGGATTCCTGAACCCGTTGAGTATCACTTACTCTTCTCTTTATGGTCTGAGAATGGAACTGATGTAAGTTGGTGAACGATCGGGAAAGTCTCCTGCGCCCGACAGGAGACTAGTACTGATTTAGTACACCTCTTACTTCGGGGAAATTCTCGCTGCTGTTACCATCTCAACATGATTCACATTATTTAATGCTACGGGACATATGGTTGAGGTCCGTTCACTCAACTTGTTGGGGCAATTATTGGGTTTGAATTGACTTTGAAAGTTCCTACATTCTTTGTCAAATTATCTAACATACAGATGGATCCTGATTTATTGGATGGGTATTTCGAACTAACAAATACGTCTCTAGGTGCTGTTGCCGAATCAACAGGGCCATCACAGTAGTGTGGTTGTGCGGGTTTTAAAAGGTTAAGGAATGCACTGGGTCATTAGTTGATGACGATTGCATTTTAAAATCGTTCATGACATCAAAAGGTTGTCATCTTCCGGTATACCGGAAGATTGTTTTCACCTGATGTTGTGGTAGTCTCCTCTTCTATTGACTTTAGATCAGTGATTGCTTTTTCCTTGTTGGGGCTTGCATTGGGATTGATCCCATGCTGCCTGTCATTCGGCTACTATGACAATATATTAGATAGCTCATGTATTTCAGCAAAGAGATTGTACATGGACCGACACAGCCATGTACAAAAATTACCACCTGAGTTTTTCATAAACTCAGGTGGTCTCAAGTCTCAAGTCAAGGTCTCAAGTCAACCCAGTGGATTATAAACTCCACCGTGAATTAAGGCCGTCAAGGCAGGTGTTCACGTTAAGCACTTAGACATATTGCCTGTCTGTCTAGTATTTCGTTAAGTATTACGCTTATTGAAGGATCTATGTTAAAAATCATTATAGTATTATCTTATAATAAGATTGTGATAAAACTCAACATAAATAAGTTCCATAAATATATGAGGACTATAATCTAGGAAGGCCGCATCTTATGTTGCGTATAAAAGCTGAATGTAACACTAATACTTGTTTTTGAATTTAAAAATTCCTTAAAGCTTTCCTAATACCCGACCTTGTCTTCATAACAGCTTCAGTTTTTCCCTCCTTTCTATTTGATATTTATCTCAAATTTTCTTCACAACATTTCGTTTTTGGCTCACATTATACATGTTTTTTTTATTACCATAAAAGATTTTTTTGTTCAGAGGTTAGTGAACTACATATTTTATTTTATAGATTTCTCTTACATATTTGTTTTTTCTGCTCCTCATTCTAACGCTTACGTTTTGTGCATATTCAAATATAAATAAATTAAATGTATTTTTAAATTGCAAAACATTAACATACATTTTCAGATTGAAAATAAGTTTTCTTTGAACAATTTTAAATAGAATTCTTTGTTTAGTTTAATTTATTTATTTCGTTGCTTTTGGCAAAAGGTTTATGGTGGCAATTGGTGTAAAGTTTAAATTGAGTTGTTCTGATATTCAACTAAAGAACTCCAGCACACCTAGTTTAGAGTCTAGTCTAGTCTATAGTCTAGTCTATAGTCTAGTCTATAGTCTAGTCTATAGTCTAGTCTATAGTCAAGTCTATAGTCTAGTCTATAGTCTAGTCTATAGTCTAGTCTATAGTCTAGTCTATAGTCTAGTCTATAGTCTAGTCTATAGTCTAGTCTATAGTCTAGTCTATAGTCTATAGTCTAGTGTATAGTCTAGTCTATAGTCTAGTCTATAGTCTAGTCTATAGTCTAATCTATAGTCAAGTCTATAGTCTAGTCTATAGTCAAGTCTATAGTCTAGTCTATAGTCTAGTCTATAGTCTAGTCTATAGTCTAGTCTATAGTCTAGTCTACAGTCTAGTCTATAGTCTAGTCTAGTAGTCTAGTCTATAGTCTAGTCTATAGTCTAGTCTATAGTCTAGTCTATAGTCTAGTCTATAGTCTAGTCTATAGTCTAGTCTATAGTCTAGTCTATAGTCTAGTCTATAGTCTAGTCTATAGTCTAGTCTATAGTCTAGTCTATAGTCTAGTCTATAGTCTAGTCTATAGTCTAGTCTATAGTCTAGTCTATAGTCTAGTCTATAGTCTAGTAGTATAGTCTAGTCTAGTCTATAGTCTAGCCTATAGTCTAGTCTATAGTCTAGTCTATAGTCTAGTCTATAGTCTAGTCTATAGTCTAGTCTATAGTCTAGTCTATAGTCTAGTCTATAGTCTAGTCTATAGTCTAGTCTATAGTCTAGCCTATAGTCTAGTCTATAGTCTAGTCTATAGTCTAGTCTATAGTAGTCTATAGTCTAGTCTATAGTCTAGTCTATAGTCTAGTCTATAGTCTAGTCTATAGTCTAGTCTATAGTCTAGTCTATAGTCTAGTCTATAGTCTAGTCTATAGTCTAGTCTATAGTCTAGTCTATAGTCTAGTCTATAGTCTAGTCTATAGTCTAGTCTATAGTCTAGTCTATAGTCTAGTCTATAGTCTAGTCTATAGTCTAGTCTATAGTCTAGTCTATAGTCTAGTCTATAGTCTAGTCTATAGTCTAGTCTATAGCTAGTCTATAGTCTAGTCTATAGTCTAGTCTATAGTCTAGTCTATAGTCTAGTCTATAGTCTAGTCTATAGTCTAGTCTATAGTCTAGTCTATAGTCTAGTCTATAGTCTAGTCTATAGTCTAGTCTATAGTCTAGTCTATAGTCTAGTCTATAGTCTAGTCTATAGTCTAGTCTATAGTCTAGTCTATAGTCTAGTCTATAGTCTAGTCTATAGTCTAGTCTATAGTCTAGTCTATAGGTCTAGTCTAGTCTATAGTCTAGTCTATAGTCTAGTCTATAGTCTAGTCTATAGTTCTAGTCTATAGTCTAGTCTATAGTCTAGTCTATAGTCTAGTCTATAGTCTAGTCTATAGTCTAGTCTATAGTCTAGTCTATAGTCTAGTCTATAGTCTAGTCTATAGTCTAGTCTATAGTCTAGTCTATAGTCTAGTCTATAGTCTAGTCTATAGTCTAGTCTATAGTCTAGTCTATAGTCTAGTCTAGTCTATAGTCTAGTCTATAGTCTAGTCTATAGTCTAGTCTATAGTCTAGTCTATAGTCTAGTCTATAGTCTAGTCTATAGTCTAGTCTATAGTCTAGTCTATAGTCTAGTCTATAGTCTAGTCTATAGTCTAGTCTATATCTAGTCTATAGCTAGTCTATAGTCTACGTCTATAGTCTAGTCTATATCTAGTCTATAGCCTATAGTCTGGTCTATTATATAGTCATGGATATTGTCTAGTTATAGTGTCTGGTCTATAGTCTAGTCTATAGTCTTTTAAACGTAAAAGCTAAAACTGATGTGTTAATAAATATTAGATAAAACAATTAAGATTTTAAACTGGTGAGAAACACATTGACCTCTATTTTTCGAAAGTGGTTTAAATTTTCAAATCTCTTGATTTGTCTAAAAAGCTATTTAAAAACTACTAAAATGCCATTAGTCATTCAAAGCCTTTCTTTGAACCGACTTTTTTATGTCAGTCTTATAATAAATGTGTTAAGGTGAAGGGTATAATAATACATTATCACAGTATAGCGCTAACTTTAAGAGAATTCCCAGAAATTCTTCACAACTTTGCCACTAAGAACAATATTAAATGAGAACTCTTATACGAAACTTACACATTCATACATAAGTACAAACCTAAGAAAATATTTAAAACATTTCATTCATTCACCATTCATTGAATTTACCAATAAAAATAATATTTGGATTTAATTGTAGAAAACTAAATTAGAAAAGAGATAGAAATAAACCAATACAAATCTAGATGAAAATCAACTTTAAATAAACCATAAAGTATTTAAAAGAAATTTATAAAAAATACAACATAAATAGAAAAAAAGATTTTAAATAAATAAACTTAAACTAAAATGAAATGAAAGGAATTTTAAAAGCCAGAAATAAAATACCAAAGTACTTAAAAAAAGAAAATCCATAAAATATACAAAAATAACTAAAACATTCTTTAAGTTATAAAAAAGAAGGAAAAACGTAGATAAACTGGGGAAAAAAATACAACAAGCAAAAAAGAGCCGGAAAAATTGGACTAAATGAAAAACTACAACAAAAAATTACAGCAATAGATGGAATAAAATAAAGGAAGAAAACTATCGGCAGCCATGAAACATTCAACAATATTTTGGATATTTTGGTTGACATTTGTCAGCATACATCACAATCAATTACAGTGTACAAGTGCTGTCGTAGTTCAACAACAACAGCTACAGCCATTTCAGCAACAACATAAAACAGCTGCAATATCATCAACATCAGCTTTAATAAAACGACGACAACAACAAAGACAGCAACGACAACAACAACAGCAGCAATGGTTTCCCAAGGGAACAACCAAAGAAGTAATAGGTGATGTTGTCGATATCGACGTTGTAGCAAAAGAAAATCGCGAAAAGAATGTCGAGAAAAATATCTTGGCAAAAGAACTCAATGTTAAACAAAAGAAAAATGCTATAAAAACACTACAGCAAGCAATAAAAGCAAAAGCACCAACAACAACAACATCTATGATAACATCAACATCACCGACAACAGCTACATCAACAAAATTATTCATGCAACAATTGTTAAAGCAACATGAAGAAACATTACAAAATTAAATGATACTGGTGGGTCTACTGCAATAGACTTGACAGAGGATTCTTTCGAAATAGCTTCAGCTGAAATACAAACAATTCCTAACATGCAAATTTTAAAACAATACAAAAGTCCTAGCAATGAAAAAGATTCTTTGATTAAGGACTTTAAGGAAAATCTACAAAATTTACTTAAATCTAGTAATATTAGCGATATTAAATTACAGCCACAATTCAATGAAGAATATGTGTCGACAGCAACTACAGCTACAATTAAACGTGCAGCTATAATGTTACAACCACAATCAACCACCAGTGCGGCAACAACACCTACAACGTCGACAACAATGCCGCCACTTGAGTTTATTTCACCTACTTCCGGTGCATCAGCAGCAGGACCCGCATCTACAACAGCAACAACTACCAACAAGGACTATAATATATTTTATGCTCATTCCACTCCCGTTGAACGTCGTCATATTATACCCGAAAAACTGCAATATACTAGAGAGATTTACATCAAACAGGGTCGACTTATGGGCATTAAACGCAATTTTCAACCATCGTCTGGTTTACGTGCCGTCGATCAATATCTTGGTTTACCTTATGCTGAAGCTCCTGTGGGTAGTCGTCGCTTTATGCCACCAGGTAAGTTCATTAGTTAGTAGTTGAGAGAAAGTGTGGTTTCTTTGTAAAATATTTTGCTTTAAAATGCTAATTAATATGTGTAAGGAATAATTCAAGGGGTGTTATTTATATGGCGCCCAAAATATACTATGACCTGGCTCGGTCATCTCGTTACGTTTATATCACGAGAGCTACACAGATTACGAATTTCTAAATGACTGGTACGGTTTTTATAAGTATGTAAGAGTTCCACATTTTAAGGCACTCAAGCTATTTGAAAAACGATCTTAATTTTCTCAATTATCTGATCGGTGGTACTCTAGAGAATCAATGGCGTTTTATTCTATTTTCAAGAGCTACTTCCGAATACGTCAATGTTAACTTTATCAGTCGAGATGGCTGCAAAGAGTTAGAGTTAGTCTAGTTAGTTAGTTAGTTAGTTAGTTTAGTTAGTTAGTTAGTTAGTAGTTAGTTAGTAGTTAGTTAGTTAGTTAGTTAGTTAGAGTAGTTAGTTAGTTAGTTAGTTAGTTAGTTAGTTAGTTAGTAGTAGTTAGTTAGTAGTTAGTTAGTTAGTAGTAGTTAGTTAGTTAGTTAGTCAGTTAGTTAGTTAGTTAGTTAGTTAGTTAGTTAGTTAGTTAGTAGTTAGTTAGTTAGTTAGTTAGTTAGTTAGTAGTCGTTAGTTAGTTAGTTAGTTAGTTAGTTAGTAGTTAGTTAGTTAGTAGTTAGTAGTTAGTTAGTTAGTTAGTTAGTTAGTTAGTTAGTTAGTGTAGTTAGTTAGTTAGTTAGTCGTAGTAGTAGTTAGTTAGTTGTTAGTTCGTTAGTTAGTTAGTTAGTTAGTTAGTTAGTTAGTTCGTTAGTTAGTTAGTTAGTTAGTTAGTTATCGTAGTTAGTTTAGTAGTTAGTTAGTTAGTTAGTAGTTAGTTAGTAGTTAGTTAGTAGTTAGTAGTTAGTTAGTAGTTAGTTAGTTAGTTAGTTAGTTAGTTAGTTAGTAGTTAGTTAGGTAGTTAGTTAGTTAGTTAGTTAGTTAGTTAGTTAGTTAGTTAGTAGTAGTTAGTTAGTTAGTTAGTTAGTTAGTTAGTTAGTTAGTTAGTAGTTTAGTTAGTTAGTTAGTTATTAGTAGTTATTAGTTAGTTAGTTAGTTAGTTAGTTAGTTAGTAGTTAGTTAGTTAGTTAGTTAAGTTAGTTAGTTAGTTAGTTAGTTAGTTAGTTAGTAGTTAGTTAGTTAGTTAGTTAGTTAGTTAGTCGTTAGTTAGTTAGTAGTTAGTTAGTTTAGTTAGTTAGTTAGTTAGTTAGTTAGTTAGTTAGTTAGTTAGTTAGTTAGTTAGTTAGTTAGTTAGTTAGTTAGTTAGTTAGTTAGTTAGTTAGTTAGTAGTTAGTTAGTTAGTTAGTAGTTAGTTAGTTAGTAGTTAGTTAGTTAGTAGTTAGTTAGTTAGTTAGTTAGTTAGTTAGTTAGTTAGTAGTTAGTTAGTTAGTTAGTTAGTTAGTTAGTTAGTTAGTTAGTTAGTTAGTTAGTTAGTTAGTTAGTAGTTAGTTAGTTAGTTAGTTAGTTAGTTAGTTAGTTAGTTAGTTAGTTAGTTAGTTAGTTAGTTAGTTAGTTAGTTAAGTTAGTTAGTTAGTTAGTGTAGTAGTTAGTTAGTTAGTTAGTTAGTTAGTTAGTTAGTTAGTTAGTTAGTCTAGTTAGTTAGTTAGTTAGTTAGTAGTTAGGTAGTTAGTTAGTTAGTTAGTTAGTTAGTTAGTTAGTAGTAGTAGTTAGTTAGTTAGTTAGTTAGTTAGTTAGTTAGTTAGTTAGTTAGTTAGTTAGTTAGTTAGTTAGTTAGTTAGTAGTTAGTTAGTAGTTAGTTAGTTAGTTAGTTAGTTAGTAGTTAGTTAGTTAGTTAGTTAGTTAGTTAGTTAGTTAGTAGTTAGTTAGTTAGTTAGTAGTTAGTTAGTAGTTAGTAGTTAGTTAGTTAGTTAGTTAGTTAGTTAGTTAGAGTTAGTTAGTTAGTTAGTTAGTTAGTAGTTAGTTAGTTAGTTAGTTAGTTAGTTAGTTAGTTAGGTAGTTAGTTAGTAGTTAGTTAGTTAGTTAGTAGTTAGTTAGTTAGTTAGTTAGTTAGTAGTTAGTTAGTTAGTTAGTTAGTTAGTTAGTTAGTTAGTTAGTAGTTAGTTAGTTAGTAGTAGGTAGTTAGTTAGTTAGTTAGTTAGTAGTTTAGTTAGTTAGTTAGTTAGTTAGTTAGTTAGTTAGTAGTTAGTTAGTTAGTTAGTTAGTTAGTTAGTTAGTAGGTTAGTTAGTAGTTAGTTAGTAGTAGTTAGTTAGTTAGTTAGTTAGTTAGTTAGTTAGTTAGTTAGTTAGTTAGTTAGTTAGTTAGTTAGTTAGTTAGTTAGTTAGTTAGTTAGTTAGTTAGTTAGTTAGTTAGTAGTTAGTTAGTAGTTAGTTAGTTAGTTAGTTAGTTAGTTAGTTAGTTACCGGTGGCTACGCTAACTACAAAATATTTCGAATTAATAATAAGTTTTGGATAGAGGCCCTGTATTTGGACTTTAGTCTAACTAGATTAACCCTTTCATCAATTATTATCATACTTTAATTATTTTATGGCTTTGCGCTGCTCAATATCGATATCGATACCAATATGAACATTAAAGGAGTCCAAAAATATCGCTTTTGATCAGATGGGTCTTCAGATCATTATTTTATCATTACAGTATAACTCCCCTTGTATAGGTAGGCTGTAGTCGGATGTTTTCCGATTTAAAACATGCGTTAATAATGTCACTTATGAGTATTTAATTTAGTATATTTTTTGTCACAAAAATCATAAAACCTTCTCTTAAATTTTAATAGTTTTAAATAACTATGTAATGATATTAAAAGTAACCAGAATTAAATTTTTCTCCCAACCTAACAGAAAAAAATATTCTCTTTCAATTACAAAATTGCACACTTTTAACATAGAACACAAAATAGAAATACTTTTAGCAATTTCCAATATATTTTTTATTGTACTTCTTTCGTCTTCATTCTATAGTAACTTAGTTATGGGGTCAAGTGTTGCTTTTATGTGTTTTTCATACAGTAGGGTGGTTTCAAAAAACTTTCAATTATTTCGCATTAAATTCAAAATTTAAAGATTAAAGTTATTTGCACATGTTACCGTGGTTTTATATAAACAGACTGACGGACAAGAAGACAAACAGACGAACATCACAAATCCACGCAAGTTTTCCCCTTTTTATTGTTTCTTCTCTATAAATTGCAATAAAAAGTTCGTTGTGAGATGCAAGTAGCAAGAAATTATTGTTAAATATTGTGAAAGTTGGACGAGGGTTTCATTCCATAAACTGTCCAACGCAACATAGAAAGTTATAAGCTGTACAATATTAAAAAAATATTTCACCCAACTCAAGCCCTCCTAATATACGTATGTAGTACATATCTACATACGTCTGTAAGTGTATTTTCATGTATTTTTATACCCTACACCACTTTAGTGGGGAGGGTATATTGGGTTTGTGCTGATGTTTGTAACGTACAATAATTTTGGTCCTATACCCACCTTAAAGTATACCAATTGGCTCAGAATCATTTTCTGAGTCGATTTAGCTATGTCCGTCCGTCTGTCCGTCCGTCCATGTAAACCTTGTAATCAAACTACAGGTCGCAATTTTGAAGATAATTCAATGAAATTTGGTACATGATCTTCTATTGTTCCAGGGACGAAGCCTATTGAAAATGGTTAAGATCGGTCCATTATTTCACCTAGCCCCCATACAACTGAACCCCCCAATAGGGCTTGTAATCCTTGTAATCAAACTACAGGTCGCAATTTTGAAGATAATTCAATGAAATTTGGTACATGATCTTCTATTGTCCTAGGGACGAAGCCTATTGAAAATGGTTAACATCGGTCCATTATTTCACCTAGCCCCCATACAACTGAACCCCTCGAATAGGGCTTTTAAAACTTGTAATCAAACTACAGGTCGCAATTTTGGAGATAATTCAATGAAATTTGGCACATGATCTTTTATGGTAACGCAGATGAAGCCTGTTGAAAATGGTTTGCATCGGTCCATTATTTCACCTAGCCCCCATACAACTGAACCCCTCGAATAGGGCTTTTAAAATTTGTAATCAAACTACAGGTCGCAATTTTGGAGATAATTCAATGAAATTTGGCACATGATCTTTTATGGTATTGTAGACGAAGTCTGTTGAAAATGGTTAACATCGGTCCATTATTTCACCTAGCCCCCATACAACTGAACCCCCGAATAGGGCTTTTAAAACTTGTAATCAAACTACAGGTCGCAATTTTGGAGATAATTCAATGAAATTTGGCACATGATCTTTTATGGTACCGTAGATGAAGCCTGTTGAAAATGGTTTACATCGGTCCATTATTTCACCTAGCCCCCTTACAACTGAACACGCCGAATAGGGCTTTTAAGTTCATAATTATGTTTAATATACTCATATCTCGACAAAAAGCTGCAATAACCAAGTTGTATACAAGACTTGATGACCCCCACGAATTCCATAATAATAGGTTCTCATATGACCCTAGCCCCTATGAAAAGCCCCCATCAAAATTTCACTGAAATGTCCACAATTTTATTCATAAACGGCTTAAGTATGTATATCTAAGGCAAGGTACAATTCAACTTAAATGCTTTATTATGTCAACTAAATCACATTATATTTTTGTCAAAGGTGTAGGGTATTATATGGTCGGCCTCGCCCGACTATAATTTCTTACTTGTTTCATAATGAATATGTGGTAGTACAAACATACAGCCTTACATACAAATTTATCTATAGTTATGTAAGGTTTTTGTTAGTTTTACTACACTTTTATTTTATATACAGTATGTGCATTTTAATGAGTATAAGTTGTTTTTAGTTGTTGTTGTTGTTGATTATTTTTTTAGATAGCAAAGCAAAAATTTTGTTCCCTGATGTTACAATTAAATGAAGTGTGGATAGTAATTAAAAAAGAGCAAAAGTTTCCGGAAAAGAAATTTAAATTAATTATACACTTTAAAGG